CTCCTTAGGTCAGGCGCTAGACATATAATGTGAAAATGACGGTGTCCCCGGGTGCCTGGTGGCTCAGTGGGTTAAGTGTCCGACTCGATCTCAGCTCAGATCTTGAACTCAGGGTCATGAGTTCAAGCCCTGTGTTGGGCTCTACAGTGGGCGTGAAGTCCGCTTAGAAAAAAAATAAATAACTGTGCCTTTTTTCTGGGACTTGACATCTTCCCCAATGTGAGAAAAAGACACATGGCTACTTGCCAACATAGCATGGGACATACCCACGTGGACACTGGGCCCAGACACCCTGGGTGTCAGTCTCAGCTCTATCACTTACTAGCTCTGTGACCTTGGATTGTTTATGTCACCTCCGTGGTCCCATCATCTATGAAATGAGCTGTCAGCATTTCCCACCTCCACTCCCCACCGTAAGGGTCTTAGGATGTAAGGGTCAAGCACTTTGCCCCGGGGCTTGGTCCATGGTGTGTACTCATAGATGTTGGCCACCTTCATTTCCAGTTATGTCCCTGTGTGGTTGATGTTACAAAAGGGGAATTCAGAGAGAAAGGAGCACCCATTGGTTCTAAAGACACTTACTTCCCTGGCAAACTGCATATATTAGGGAATCATGGATCCCTCTATATTATTAATCAACAGCTAATATAAAGCTGGGGCAGGAACTTCCAATCAGCATGAGATAAGCAATGTGGTATGATTTCTGTTCAGAGCAAAGAAACTTGACATTTTAGCCTTGGGACCTTATCTAAGGTAAATGGGATGGTTCTGTTAAGCTTTGAAAATAGTGGGAGTTTCTGCCCTGGATTCTTAGGAATAACTTCACACTGACTTCTAAGGTCTGGGAATCCCTCATCACCAGGATGGAAACTGCTGGTCCAGGGGAAAAGGAAGGGAAGGAGAGAAGGAGAGCTGGAGGCAGACATTTATGGAGAAAGTACCATGTAGCGTGTTCTGGGTCAACAGCTCACCTGTGCCAGTATTCTAGGTCTTCTGATTGCAAGCCTGGAGTTCTTCCCTGGATGCCAAGCTGTATCTCACAAAAGTGTGAGAGAGTCGCCCCTCCATGTGCTTGTCACCTGGGATGGGGTCGGGCAAGGTTGGTTTAGAGCAAGGATTAGAGATCACCATCTTCCCACTCTAGGTCCCAGGAGGGGAAATTCGCTGCTCGAGGGCAGATGCACAAGGGGATGTGTGTGAGAGAGAGAGAGAGAGAGAGAGAGAGAGACAGAGAGACAGAGACAGAGACACCAGGCTGGGGGATTATGGCTGAGGACATAGAGGTGTCTGTCCTTGGTGCGCTCTTTTTGGAGACTCTTAATGAGGAAGGCAGTACCTAGGTTGGGGACCTTCCAAGTCTTCAGGTGCCTGGACACAGATGGGGCCCCTGGGGAAGAATCCCCTTGATTCCTGTTCCTCTCTCATAGACAGGGCAGAAAAGGCCAGAGGAGTATGGTGCTTTGACCTTATTTCCTGGTCCCTTCCTGCTGTTGAGAATCTGGGTTGCGGAGAGAGAGAGAGAGAGAGAGAGAGAGAAAGAGAGAGAACCCCAACACAACTGAATGCTATTAGTTGAATCCCAAGCTGGGACACCTGGTCTGAGAGCCATGTGTGCACAGGATAGAAATTCGAAATGAAATTTATCCGGGAAAATTTGGTTTATCTCTCCCATGCCTATTGTCCACCTTTTGGTTGTAAGGAGTAAAATGATATAATGTATGGGACAGCACCGAGTGAAGTTCCAAAGGCAGCAGGATATTGTCATTGTTATTATAGCTTTGAGGCTGGAGAGGATTGCACAGGTGGTCTAATCTGATCCCCCTAGTGTGGCAGGAGTCCTTCCCCGACCCCCCTGGCTGATTGCCAGACACCTCCCCCTGCACGCTTGCAGGGACAAGGAGCTCACTCCTCCAAAGGTAGCTCTGGTTGGCGCTCGCTGAGAGAGAGTCCTTTGGGTTGAGCTCCGATCTCATCTTGCTGCACTCGCTGGGCGTACAGCACATTTGTGCCCAGGTCCTCCTGGATTTAAGGACAGCTTCATGTCTCGAGCCATCCTTGTGCCCACCCCCACCCCCACCAGAGTACCTTTCTCTGATAATCTCGGTGGACTTTGCACAGAATACTTTGCAGATTCTCCATTCCCTAGAGCCCCACCCACTCCAGCTGGTCAGTGTCCCCCTGCAGATAATAGTTGCAAAACAAACACAGCCAGCGCAGCTGATGTGACCCAATCAGGGCAAAGTGCGGGACAGGCATCACTTCCTGTCATCTACACGCTGGGACTCTTAGGAATGAGGAACAAAAACAAGAACTTTCCAGCGGTTGTGTCAAATTTGCTCAGGTTAAGCTTGATTTTGAGCAGATATCCCACAGTTTTTCTCACCTAAACCATGTCTACCTCCCATATTTATAATTAGTTGAAATGGCCCTGTGGGGGGAAGAGCATGTTGCCCGTACCCTAGAAGGCAAGCTTCTTGAGGTGCTGTTGCTGATTCTACAGCCCTCCCTCCCTGGTTCTGGAGCCGTTGCTAGGACTTCTGTGGTACTCGTTCTCGTCTGTCTGTAGTTTACTACGTGCTCATCGTGTGTAGTTTTGCCTGTTTGGGAACTCTGCAGAAATGGAATCATGCTGTATGTATTACTTTATAATTCGCTTCTTTTCCTCCGTATGTGTGAGAGCATGCATGTTGACTCTGTGGGGGTAGTTTTCTCACCATCATTGCTGGAGGCCTTCCATTGTGTGAGTGCTTTCCCGTTTATTTATCTAGTCTAGTGTTGATGAACATGTAGGTTATTTATTTGTTTACTCTGTTATAAGCTATGCCGTCTCAGAGGTTCTCGTATGTGTCTCCTGGGGCACCTGCACAGTTTAATTGATAATTACTTTATGTGTTGAGATCTGGTCTCTCAGTTTCTTTTAGAATGGAGGAATCCTGACTTTTACACCTTATAAAGGCTTCGAGCACATGCTAGTTTTTTTTTTTTTAAGATTTTATTAATCTATTTGACAGAGAAAGAGGGAACACAACAGGGGGAGAGGGAGAAGGAGAAGCAGACTTCCCACTGAGCAGGGAGCCTGATGTGGGGCTTGATCCCAGGACCCTGAGATCATGACCTGAGCTGAAGGCAGACACCTAACCCACTGAGCCACCCAGGTGCCCGAGCACACACTCATTTTCTCTAAATTACATACTTCTGGTGGAATTGCTGAGTCTTAGGATTTATGTAAAAATAGGAGAATGTACACAAGTATTGCGTGCTCCTTACCTGATTTCAAAATTGCTTTTTTTTTTTAAACGCTTGTTTGGCATGAGGAGTCTCAGTTGTCCAGACCAGCAGCCTATTTCTGAGTGACCTTGATCTTGAAGGCTGGGCTTCAAGCCCCAGATTATCAATAGCAGTAAGCTTGTTTCTTACTCCCTGGAAAGGGTCCCTTCTGTAGAGGGCATCGGTATCTGCTATCTTTCTGGCTCTGCCTCTCGTTAGTCACCACCAGACAGAGGATGCACTGGGCTGCCCCATCCCGCACAAGAGACATTTAAGGGGGTGTGGTGAGTAGGGGAAGTAACCGTGCTTGCTTTCTCAAAGGTACACCGCCATCCGAGGATATTAACTGCTCAAAAAACTCAGGTCTGTATTCAGGTCCTTCCCTAACGTTAGCTGGATTTAGGGCAAAAGTACCGATAGATGCCACATGCCTACCCAAATTATTTAAAATTATAAATCATTTCATCTGTTCACCTTAATATGTTCTATTCAGCCGCCACAAGTGATGCAGGAGACCAGGCTTCGGTTCAGATTTCCTGAACTCCTGAGATGTGGGCCCTTGACTGAGGTGGTTAAAGGAGCCCCCCACCCTCCCCGGGCTGGACTTGTGCCACCATGTGTGCACACGGCAGCTTAAATGTCCAAGTGATGTGCCCTCCTCTCCCACAGACATAGCTGCCTCTTAGCTACGTGTAGGGATGCCCAGTTGCTGCTCTAGAGAGGATGGATCTGGGGAAGGGGCCCAGTCTCCAGCC